CCCCCCCTCTTTCCCAAATCTCAACGTCGAAATCTAAACAACACTTGGGTCTGTGCTGGTCTGGTCTGTTTAGGCTAAGACCATCTCAACCACCTGCTCTCCCCTTGCCCCCTCCCCTCGTGTACTCACTCACTCTTTGGGCAAAGGAGGGAATTAATCGCAATGAAATCGGATGTTTCATTTCCCGGCGAAGCGTTTCCCACCATGACTAGGTATCTCTTTTGCAGAGATACCTAGTTCTATGTGTAGTACTTCATGAGCATGGCCAGGAAAGATCTCTCGACAAATGATTCGATCCCGGGAGATCACTTTCAAAGAAAACCCCTCCGATCATTCCCTGGACAGGACGCAAGGCCGGCAGATCGTTGACTAACTTACACTACAGTGGCGAAGAAACAACAATCGGAAAGGACTGAACCGAGTACTTGACTAGTTGTAACTACTGTACATACTACATAGTCTGCTAGCCTTGGCTTTTTTCTTACTGTATCTCTACTTCCCACGGTCAGACCACTCACTACCCACTCCATCATGGTCAAAAACCGTCCCAAGTCTCGCCGATGCAAAACCTAATCAAACAATGGGGATGGATCCGCTATCCGATCTCCCAGGATTGCAGAGGCTTTCTTTCCCCTTCCATTGTTCGTCCCGTTTGCACTGACCATGGAAACAGGTATAGCGGGTTCCTTGGGTTCGTATAGATGGTATGATGAAGAGAATGTTCGGAAGTCAGATCAGGACGAGACGAGATGAATCGGAGCCGGTAGAACTTTGTTTAGTTTGTGCACTACTAGTACACTGGCTGGGTCTGGTCCATCCTCTTCTTGCCTCCCATTTTCGTCGGGAGCGATGGTAAGGTACTTGGTATGTCACTGCACTCCGTAGTGGTGGCTTTTATTTGTCTCTAACTGGGGCTTCTTCTATACATACATGGTTTGGTTTCGTGGGGATAGTGAAAGGTTTCCTAATTTTTCTTGTGTTCGAAGATACGAAGACAGAGCAGACCGGAGGGCTTTCTTTCCACGGATGAGATGAGAAGGTGATCTTGCTTGGTAATGCTTACGCTCGGGGCCTCACTCAAAGCGGAGTAACTCTGTCCTACGGAGTAGAGGGTGTCCAGATCTACAGGCATGGCTGGGTGCATGAGGCGCTGAAGACCGTGACTGGTTCCCCTCCGCTTTACGTAGAAAACACATGAGCACCTCAATTCGAACCACGCACATACTCGGTCATTCTCTGTTTGCTTTACTCTCTGACTTACAGATCCATATCGTAAGCTGCATCTGCGGCCAACTCAAAACCACAGATTCGCGCATCTCTCGCTTTCACATGTATATCCAACTCGTTAGTAGCAGCGACTTGCTTGATGGGTCGAACAGGGAAAAGTAGGCCATCCTATCGCCAGTACGCACTCGCCACGGAGTTGATATAGTCAATCCCCTCTTTTCGCCACGTGTCCGGCTCCATATAGCTTGTGTTATTGGCATTGAAGACCAGATCGACCGGCCGACCCTGCCCGTAGGCCTGCCACCGGACCGTCGACTCGTTCTTGATGCCCGAATTGGGGTCCAGGTCGTGGATGAAAGATGCCCACATGCTGGTCATCAGCTGGCTCAGTTGCACGTACGACTCGGGCACCCCCGCGAAAGGAAGCCCGTAGTGATACCCAAGGCCGGCGATGTTGTTGAAGACAAAGGCCACTTCCTCGAAGTGGGTGGCTCCCGACAAGGGTGTGACGTCCGCGGACCGCACATTGAAGCGGTAGCAGTAGGCCGTGGTGTTGGTCGCCGTCCACGCCTCGCATTGTCGTCGCCGGTTCGCGTGCATCTTCACGTCCCCTGCATACGCGGATGTGCGTCGCCACTGGTAACCCTTGGATGCGACTCGTCTCGAGCCAAGGAACTCGGGGATACCCAAGGAGGGATTATCGGGGTAGACCTGCAGGATATGCTTGGCGATGGACGGAGGTAGCTGGAAGCCATCCTGACCATCTGTGGCAACTTAGTAAACTGTAGAATTGGTGGACCAGATTCACAGAGCAGGGCATACGTACCGGTAAGATATGCATAGAATTCCTGCGTCGTATTAACCCCGGTGGGCCCGAACGCGGTTCCTTCGTCAGTATTGGTGCCGGCAATTATAGGAACCTGAACGAATTCATGGCGGTCAAGCTGGAGACTGCCCCAGGTCGGAATCAAATCACCATCGATGACAGGTGAGAAAGGGTAGTTCGATTGCCCATCGGTTCCATTGAGGACGCTATTCAACTTCACAAATGGAACCTCGCGCAGGCATTGCAATGAGTCCACAACGTCGGAGCAGTTGACCTTGGCCACGAGGTCGTCGTAGAGGGCCTGATAGCCGGTGTAGTTAGAAGGTCCGGCGGCAATGGTTCCCCCGGACTCCATGATTGCTGCACGGAAGAGGCTGTCGTCCCTACCCCCGTAGGCTGCCAGGTGATATCCAACAGACATTGCTCCCGCAGACTCGCCCCAGATAGTGATCTTTGCCGGATCACCACCGAATGCAGCAATGTTCTCCTTGATCCAGTGAAGTGCCAATCTCTGATCCCTAAGGCCGAGGTTGGTGTTACCTGTGCCACTGACCTCACTAGAGCTTATGAAACCCCAGGTCGTGAGCCGGTAGTTGAGCGACACGGCGAGGAAAGGTTTGCCTGTGCGTGCCAAGACATGTCAATAATGGCCATAACAATAGCTCAAGGGCGACATACCAATCTTTTGAGCATTGGCAACAATTGCAGACATATTATAGCGCTGATCCGCACTTGATCCTTCTGTGAAGCCACCTCCATGGATCCAGACTCCTACTGGGAGGCTTGAGCTTTCGTTGAAAGAGGAATCGCGGATGACATTGAGGGTGAGACATGCTTCGGACTGATTGTACCATATAGAATCCGTCTAACGTACTAAAGTCAGCTTATATCATATGAAGCCGGTGAAGGCAGTATAGTGGCATACCCCATATCCTACACAGATGTCTGAGTATGCCTTCGCCTCACGCTCACCATCCCAGCTTTCATTGAGGGACTTTGGAACCCTGAATCGCAAGTCGCCAACGGGCTGTTGCGCATAAGGTATACCAAGGAAGAAGTCTTGCTCATAATCGGTGTTTCTCACTCCGACATATGTACCATTGCGAACATGAGCTGTAGGCTGAGATGTATCAGCCGAAGCGACAATGCCACTGGCAGAGAGACCGAGCAGGCAAACGAATGCCCTGCGCATCTTGCAGAGAGTTATAAGATTCAAAATGACTCTAAAGCTGCTGCACCATACTTCGACGACGCTGGACGACGCCGCTCTGCAGCATTTATACCTGGATCTTCACGGCATAAGGGGGCCTGGCGCAAACCCCGGCATCAGGTCAAAACGTTGCATCATCAACCCCGGGTTAAGAGCAGTCGCGGGATGTGGGGAAGTACTCCAGATCCCACCGTCAACAGGGGGGAGTGTTTCCAAATCAGGTTGCGCCGCCGGCCAAAATGCGGAGCATTGGGGTCATGGGATAGATTGGTGAGAGCGAGTCATGCAGAGATCGGTGAAAGCACCTCGTCTCTATACCCTGATTCGTACAGGTGCCCGCATTCTGCTCGAGTTTTGCTTGACCCGAGGTATCCCCGAGGTTGAAAACTTGGCGGGGAAGATATATGCCGTTCATGTCCCCGCAAACGGGATAATAGCGTGATGCTATTAAGGCTATTCGGGCAAAATGTTATAGCCGGGTCCCGTTCCGAAGTATCGTTCGACGACAACGCCCGCCTAGAGTTGGTGTCCTCGGAGAACATGTAAACCGAAGCTGCAAGAGGAGCAGAACGACGCAGACCTGGCACAGAACGGTAGATATGAACAAACTTTAGAATATGAGACAGTGAGAGAGAAAGAAGTGTGGGCTTCTGACCGCCATGCCGGCCTGTCTGCAGGTTCTTGCATGCTTAGGGTTTAACGGCCGTCTGCCGGCTATGCTCCGAGGATTCGCGAGGACCCCTTCAGCAGTCATATTGCACAAGCAGCCCCTACTTCGAAGTCAAGAAAATCCTTCGAGCCACACAGGAGCCAAGGTGTACCAGGACCAATCCAGGCAAGGCAATCCGTTCTTCACTCGTGAAACTTCCTCCGACTGGACTTCTTGGCCGTGAACCTGCCGTTGCACGGCCGGCCAATTAGTTCTTGCCATTCAATGCTGAAAAAACCAGAGTCACACGCTGTAGCACGTCATAGCCACCGAAACATATGCAGCTTCCCTGACTAGCAATGGCTGGAGCTTTAGTGTCTCACAGTGCTCACGTCAAACGATCTGACCCTCGATTCCTTGACTGCTACTGCACTCGAACCTTCGCCGTGGTCGGACATGGCAAGAGCTCTGTAAGACGTGCCAGACGATCGTAATTTTGGGGCGCTTCACAACATTCAACTTGTCCTGGAGATAGGCCCCGATTGAATCAGTGCGGAGTAGAGAAGTTTGAGGTGAAGCGAGGGCGTTCTCATGACTGCAACAGTAACCCCAGGGGCCACGCCCTTGAAACAGCCAGCACTCGATTCTGCAGCTTGATGGAGAGTTGCTGTGACTGTAGCTCCTAATGAACTGAAAACATCGGCATTGATTCAGAATCAGGCAGTCCGTCTGACCAGATGATAAGGGTAGGCCAAAAAACTCAATACCGACCGGCTTCATTGTCTACAAAGTCGGGAAAGTGCATGTGCTGTCTTTCCTATGACAAGCCCAAGGTAACGTTCCTGGCACAGCGACACCAAGTCAAGGTACGTCACCGAGGTCCGTGACAGTGAGCAAAGCACCCCCCCATATAAGTTATGTTGAGTTGACAACCATTGAGGGAGATGGAAGCTCGCGTCCTGCAAGCACTGGCATGTTTCGACGGCGCTTGTTTCGTTTTGATATGACATCTGAAATTATGCTTTGGGATCCCTCTACCACGTTCCATGTGCTATCGGCATTCTCTCAACATTCCGAAGAAATTGAATCCATCTTAGCCGTCATCAACGGGTTTCTGGGTGCGCTCAGGACGAAGAGTTCCGCCGAGTTCGACAAATACTGCGTGCGAGCGGGAGGAATGTCCCTCTGGCCACCTTCACCGACCCTCCCTCGCTTCTGTACGATTGGAACCTTCGTTGAACAGGTGGTCAAGATCGAGGATGAGATCGATGAGCGTATCTGGGACCCTGAAGTGAAAGTGTATCCTTCGGGTAGCCTGGCCGCCGTCTGGGCCCCTTTCCGAGCAAAGGTCAACGGTGCTGTGCATCATGTCGGCGTTGAGCTCTTCATACTTCACAAAGTTAGCAATACATGGAAGGTGACTGGAGTGGCTGATTCGTGTCGAGAACCGACTGAGGAGGAAAAGATCTGGTTGCCTTGAACGGGCGGCATTCGATGATAGCGGGAAAGTACTGAGACGATTGAGAAAAAAGACTGAAAGGGGGGAAGTTGCTTGTCTGGGAATTGCATGGTTTGTCTCGGACTCAAGAGGCTCGCAGCCAACCCCTTCTCATATGGTGGAGGGTTTCACACAAAATCAAGAACATCCAATCAACCTCCTATACAATGATGATGTTTAATCACAAAGGCAAACCAATTGAGCAAACCAAGTCTCCTGTAATATTATGCAACACGACTGACAGTATATGTAGTACTCAACAGTAAGTGACAGTAGAAAATAGACAAGCTATCTACATCTATATGCGAATTTATTTACAACATCTTTTCAAATATTCTTACCCTTGAGAAGTTCCCACCCAACGGTACCGTTCCTCCCCTCATGCACGCTCATCTCATCCACGGCCTTGACAAGGTCATAGCATATCCGCTCCGAAACGACACTGTCTTGCTTGTAGTCTGGGTGCGACGCAACGAACTCGCGGATCCACTTGGCGCCCGTCCAGAGAGTTCCGTTCGCACGTTTGCGTATCAAGTCAAGGTAGCTGGCCAATGAGCAGCGAGTCTCAACATCCACATTGACACTGTTCAGGTATGATTCGACAAGTGGGATCAGTCCAGGGAAAGAGCCATCGGAAGAACCGTTGATGATATCAGATATAGTCATGAGTTCGTACTCGGACTCCACGGGGGTAAGGGATGGCGATGGAGGCGGGGAGTTGGCAGCGGACGACGTGGTGGAAGAGACGTTGCTGCCACTGGATGAATGAGGATTCGGGCGGCGAGGGGAGAATGGGTCCTTGCGGAAGTAGAATTTCCGGTCGTGAACCGCGTTGCGTGCATGTGCGGTCTCCATGTTCTCTGTCGTGCGCTGAATCGGGATATAGAAGTTTAGATCATAAGTCAAAATCGCGCGGGTCACAAGTACAATAAAAATGCTGAATGCAGCGTTCTCAAAGTCGGTCATCTGGATCTCCATGGAACGGAACTCGACCCGCCAACCAATGTCATCCTTGTCAGGTGGTGGGGGTTTGAACCGCATATGCTGCCAGTTTGTGGACTGCAAATTCTCGAAGTGATCCGCTTTGTTCAAGTCGAGTTCTTCAAGATCTTCCGAGAAGATGACCAAAGGATCACGAATGAAGAGATGTGCAAAATGTGTGGCTAGAAGATCATCCATTCCGTCCTCCATCAGACGCTTCTTGATATCCTCGTCAACGATCAAGTCAGGGTCCAAATATTCCTTTCGCAACCGGGGGTCTTGTGAAATATAGGTCGAGTTTGAGGCATATCGGGATTTAGGGATCCTCCATCTGTCATTTTTCAAGGGCTGTGAGATGTTAGCGAATGGCATTAGCAGCGGGACAGGGCAATCGTACAAGTTCTCCAAGCTCTTCACGAGTACGGTCATCAACAGCCCCACTAATCTGATTCCAGCGTACATCCGTGTCAACAAGGAAGCCCTTGTAAATCGGCGTAGCAGCGGTCAAGGCCAGCAAAATAGGTCCCAGTGGACTCAACTGGTCGTACAACTTCCTCCCTTCGGTCATATTCTTGGCTTGGAAAGTGATTTGCAGACAGCAACTGCCCATACCAAAGGCCATGGCATCCATGTACACATGATCGTCCTTGGCTGCTCCGTTTCTAACGTCATCATCCTCAGGCCAGATATGAAGATCATAATTCACAGTTGGGTCTTTAAATGGTTCGGGCGTATTCGTGTCTTTATATACCGGGACGTTCAGCTCAACCTTGCGACCTCTCCTTGACCGGATGTTAGCAGCCAGGGTTGGAAACCTGATGTGCGGATTGGCGATCTCGTCGGGCACAAACTGGGACCGGAGCGCAGGACCAGACGGTGGATAATAGGGCTGGATATAGTCATCCTTGGTGCCCAGGCGAGGAAACGTCGTAAGGGTGATGGGATGTTCATTCGGTGCCATGTGGGCTTTGGCAACCTCGCGTCTGTGGTGATGATGTTAGAGGTCACAAGCTATCATTGAATCCAGTAATTGGGTACGGACCTCCATTTCATGTTTGACTCGACCTTCAGCAGGTCCTTGAAATCGATTCCCCAGGGTTTACCCGGCGTTGCTTCAAGCATGAAGCGGCCAAATTCCGGATGGAAGTGTGGTGGCTCTTCCCCGTCACTGCAACCCATCAGACATGTCCTTAGTTTGTTCTTGCCGACAAATCTCACTGTTCATCGTTCGGGGACTGAGGTCGAGTTCCCTGCTTCCATGATGCTTCGTCTTCCGCAAGTGACTTGAGAATCTCCGCCTGTGCGAGTGAAAGGCGGGCCTTCTTCGCTTCATCATCGACGGCTACAACAAGGTACTCAACCTGATAGATCGAGATCGATTAGCACAAGAGAATGGGATTCTGCGGGATGAAATCTTACTTCATCGCCCCAAAGCAGAGCATTGCGCTCCTTGCCCTTGGCTCTATGCCAGTTCGCAAGTAATTGCTGTCTTTGGTCAATACATTTCGGGCTGTGACATATGCCAAATGGACCCAATGGCGAAATACTCACCTCAATTCCCCATTTGCGAACCTGGTCTGCTCTTTTCTTGGCCTCCGGCCAATCCAGGGCCGTTCCAAGCGCGCTGGAGGAACGCAAGTTAGTCTCTGGCGCGCTCAAATCATCTGGCTTTCACTCAGCAGTCATCACATACAGCAAGCCCATTCTGTCGCTGATCAGGACTATCGGCAGGAAGGCGCGCGAATTTTCCGAGGGAGAGACCTGACCGTTGGGTCGCGGCACAGAGGTGGTGGGGTGAGACGACAGGAAAATCAGTCCATACAAAAACCCCGCGGAGATGAGGGGAAACTTCCAGTTTCCACAGACAATTATTAGACTCCGATCTAGGACCCGATCGAGTCACGTCAGTAGCACGCAATGGCCCGACTCAAGGCACAGGTGATATAGACCAAGATCCTGAATCCCCAAGCAGGATCAAAAGATGCCAGAGAAAGAGTGGAAACCGACGGATCGTGCTCCTTCTTATCGACTTGATGCTGATTTTCGTGTCGAACCTTCGGGGTTCCAGGCTCAATCGCCTATTGGCGGGGACAAAACGTCTCTCCGTTCATAGCGGGGCAGGAAAAGCATTATCGGTGATTGTCACCCACGTCGATTTCTAAGCAGCGTGGAGGAAGGGAGCCCGGTCAGGTGACTTTCCTGTCATCAGTTGCGCTGCAGCGCTATACGGAGCCATTATCCAGCTATTGCTATGCCATCTCTCTTCCAGCATAGCGAGAGAAACATGAGTCAAATGGCTTATGCAAGATACCTCTTTCTACTGCGCTACTTAAATACACACCCAGACCATGGCATCTTCGCACATGATTGACTATGTATAGCGGGAGCTTGTTATGATCATTTTAACTTGATTTGCAATTAGGCTAAGGTACTCCAGAAAAGGAACTGAAGCTCCTGTGCCAGAATCAACTGATGCTGTCTCAATCTCGACTCGCTTTTTAGCAGGCTGACATGCTCAAAACGGCTCCCGGCTAGGGCAGAAATGCCTGTCTTACTCATGCTATATTGCCCGAGAGTAGGAGCACGTCAAGCTGCGCGGTTCTCCAAAAAGACACTGGAGAGAGGTGACCAGCTACTGAGGCCTTTTATGGGTTTATTGACCCTGGCTCTCAAAATATGGTATCGACAGGATCGACTCGATGGAATCCCAACGCCAAAGTCGGTACATGGACAAACAATCTCACAATCTCTATGTACATAACATGCTGCTTCGTCCGTCGCGAATAAGAGGATGTCGAAATTCCGGTATCAATTGCTGCGGGCACCATCCTTTGCGGCCCGGAGCTCTTCCATCTTGGCGACGCGCTTCTTGAACTCCTCGTACTGGCACTTCTCGTAGCTGTGTCGCTCATCCTGCAATTTGCGATGCAGATGTCAGATCCAGTTTTCCATAATTCAGATGATAGGCAAGGAGTATTGGCGGAATCAGAACAACGCACCTCGCACTTCCACGGGAGGTAGTACTCCTGCTGCCGGCAGCGGTTCAAGGGGATTAGCAAGTGAGCGCAAGAGTCGCGGTACTGAAGAGGAAGGCGAGCATCCGACATTTCCTGGCTCGTGGCAGCTGAGAGAGAGGGTCAGTCATGACTTCGATGAGCAACATTATTCACCGCGTTGCTTCCCCACGCAGTGGAGGCCAATGGCAATATAAACTTACGAGTGCTGCCCGAAAGCCCAACGGCGCTCTTCACTGTCTCGGCAACAGTCATATTGAAAGGAGAAAAGGGTGTTATGAAGGTGGGTTTCGAGGACAAGCGACCGGACCGTGAGGTTTGCAGCTATTCCGTAGTCGTCGTCGTTCCTTCCTTGCCGGCAGCGTCATGTGACGGCACGTGACAGTATATCCGTAAAAGGATTAGCTTGGCTAAATCCACTTTACGCGGTCCGACGTACTCAGGGCGCGTCTTGCCTAGCCAGACCTTCGCGTTTCGAGATCAATACTGCAGAACCTATCATTAACAAGCCATCCTCGGTCTTTCTTCAATCATGCTCATGTGAATCAACCCGGCCAATCAACGAGCGTCGGATCTTGATGCATTTCCATAATTGAACAAACACCTGAGATCCTTGTTGTTGTCCGGCTGCCGAGCGGCGGTGTCAGTCGCTGTTGCTGAACGGGACCTCACTGAATCAGGACAGCGTGAGGGGACGCACATCATGGCGGGAGTTGACTTTTCGAAAGTGTACTCTGCTACCTATAGCAGTGTAAGTAGGAATCTCCAGAATCCGCCCTGCCTTCTTCAATTGGATCACTTACGGACCAATTTCGACCAAACGAAGGGGTAGAACCCCCAGCTGATGCATGTCACTAGGTACCGGTCTACGAGCTGAAACTCGATGGAGAAAGCGTGATGCGAAGACGGTCGGACGACTGGATCAATGCAACCCATATTCTCAAAGTCGCCGGATTCGACAAGCCAGCGAGAACGAGGATTCTCGAGCGGGAGGTACAAAAGGGTGTCCATGAGAAAGTGCAAGGTGGATATGGCAAATATCAAGGTAAGTCCGTCTTGTCCAAGGTCTCTACTGATAACCCCTGTTTCTTGAATGGCGTATCAGTTCTGACTTGGATAGGTACATGGATACCTCTCCCTGAAGGTCGACTCCTCGCTGAGCGCAACAATATAATCGACAAATTGAGACCGATATTTGACTATGTTGCCGGAGACCGTAGCCCTCCACCAGCACCGAAACACACAACTGCATCAAAACCAAGGGCACCGAAGAACACAGCCAACCGGAGAACTGTGAACGAGGAGGTCTTCAGTGCTATCAAACCAGCCCGAAATATGGCGCCACCCCCCTTTACCCACGAACAGTACGAGATGAGCACTGGCTTTGACGACAACGAGTCCATCGAACAAGCGACGCTTGAGTCGTCGTCAATGATAGCGGATGAAGAGATGATGACAATGTCACAGAACGGTAACTTCTCTCGCAAACGCAAGCGTGGAATCAACGAGGCGCCTGTGATGTCCATCAGCGAACAGGAACACATACTCTATGGGGACCAGCTCTTGGACTACTTCATGACAGTAGGCGATGCGCCCGAGGCTACACGTGTACCACCTCCACAGCCACCATCCAACTTCCAGGTAGATCGCCCAATTGACGACTCCGGTAACACGGCCCTTCACTGGGCCTGTGCTATGGGAGATCTGGAGATTGTGAAAGATCTCTTACGAAGAGGAGCAGATATGAAGGCATTATCGGTACACGAAGAGACCCCGCTTGTGCGAGCTGTTCTGTTTACGAATAACTACGAGAAGAGAACTTTCCCTCCGCTTCTCGATTTACTCTGGGATACAGTCTCATTCAGAGACTGGTTTGGTGCTACCATATTTCATCATATAGCAGAGACTACGCGGAGCAAAGGGAAATGGAAGAGCTCACGATACTATTGTGATGTGCTGCTAGACAAGCTGCGCCTCATGTGCTCGGTGGAAGAAGTCGATCTTTTGTTGTCCTTCCAGGACTCTAATGGAGACACAGCGGCCTTAGTGGCTGCTCGGAATGGCGCTTTCCGCTTGGTGGACTTGCTTCTTGCACGGTGTCCACGGGCTGGCGACTTAGTGAACAAGAAGGGCGAGACGGCTGCAAGCATTACTCGACGAGCGCATCCGTCCGAACGCGACGTTCCTCCTCCGCCATCATCTATCACGATGGGCAATGACCAGTTGGACGGCGAAGCGCCAGGGCCAATGAATGTTGACACCCAGCCCGCCACTCTTGCCCAAGAGTCATCGTCTCCTGCCACCACCGCGTTGCTATCCAAGATTGGTGTGATAATGGCTGAAGCAAATAAGAAACTTACCGTAAGCTACGGAAGCTCAAAAGCGAACGGGCAGGACTCTGACGACGTTGCGAACCCGGAAACACTGTACGAGCAACTAGAGGTGGATCGACAGAAGGTGCAGAAAGAAACAGCTGTCTTACAAGCGCAGGAGGCTGGTGAGCAGCCAATTGATGCTCAGCTTGAACGCTATGAGCAGTTGCGAAGTGGCTATGAGTCACTGCTAGAGCAGATTCAGCTGAGTCGCCTAAGAGAGCGCATATCATCGGTAGTAGTGCCTGCAGCACAGGAGGGTACGACGCCACCCGCCACAGACCACGATAAACTGCTTCGCACCTACCAGCTGGCTCGACAATTGTGCTCAGCACAGAAAGCTCGGCGCGCTGCTGTCAAAGACCTTGCTCAGCAGACGGCTGACGCGGGAGTAAGCACCAAGTTCGATGTCCATCGGAAGTTGGTGGCACTCGCCACTGGTCTCAAGGAGGAAGACCTCGACCCCATGGCTGCTGAGCTAGCCGAAACATTGGAATTTGACCGAACGAATGGGAAGGGCGACGCGGCGGAGTCGCCAGATCCTGAGCCCCGAGAATCCGCATCTTTTCCTTTCCCCGGGACGACCGTGTCTGTTGATGCATGAGTACGTCCTAGGTCGCCTCTCACATGTTGTGCCGCCCGCGTCCGGTGCGCTATCGGGCCTTCTTCCTTCCTGATCTGGTTTTCAGCTGTCTTGGATCAGATATGATGTCTCATCAAATTCTTTCAGGATAGCGGAGCGCCTTTGATGATCTAATTCCGACCCTCATTATCTTCTTTTTCTCTCTGAATTGTGCTCACTCATCATGAATGTTCAACCCTTGCATTTTCCTACCTCTGGCGGGCAATTTGAAATTCTGGTTTGCCAGCAGATACCCAATACTTTCTCTGTATTCTAATTTCTTTTCTTCATGTTTCCTTCCTCATTCATGACGTTGACTTTCACTGTTCCCGAGCTGTGGGGGGTGATCGTCGTGCCATTGCCGTCGGCGCTCGGCCGACTACGCGCAAGGCCAAACTTAAACAATACGAATCCGAAAGACCGGAAAGGGGCCGCAGTGTGGGCTAAGCCTCGATCACAGAGTCCACATCTTGGTTGCCTTGTATTTGAAATGGACAGGATAATTGGGTCTATGCATGTACATATGGAGTGATCCAGCCAAATCCCAGGCTCTCAGCTGATGACATGTGCTTTTCCATCGACGCGTCCAGCTGATTCCCCGAGAACCCCTGTGCCAGCGACTCTAGCGGCCCACTGTAGACTTTTGATGTCTGGTTGCTCTCTTACTGCAAAGGCCAGAGAATCTCCTCCCTGCAGAAACACAAGCTCGACTTTTTCGCCACAGTAAACACGACTTCATTGCCCTAGCCAGCTCTTCTAGAAGGCACGGTGGGCACCATCGCTGCTGCAGGCATCCAACACACACGAATAAACCGAAGCAAATCATCCCACCGGCGCACTTACATTACAACCTAGCAGCCTAGCAGCCTAGCAGCTATAGTCGCCCCTCACCACCCTACCGCGCCAGCAAACCCATTGCAGGATCTAAGACTCAGCCCACTGCAGCCCATCCACACACGATCTAAAACTCCGAACGCGAGGCAGCGATGACCCTTTCCCCGGTCTAGATGGGGTTTCCAAAGACTAGAGGAAATGACAAAGACAGAATCCTTCCACTCATACTCCCGGATCCGACCCTTCCGGGGAGCCAGCTCGGAAAAGGATACTACTGGCACTACGGAGCGCGCTCCGTAAGCAATACTAAATCGGCCATGCAGGATGCGAGAACGGCGGCGGAGGGGGGAAAGGAAATTGTTGCATGCGACATATGCAGAGATGGTTCAGTCTCCTTGCATTGGTGTCGGGCGACGCCCGAGAAGTTAATGGGAGATTCGGTTAAGTTGTGCGAGTTGGGAATAGTTGGGGGGGGGGGGGGTGGTAAATCATGATCCAGAAGGTTCGGGGGCATGATGCGCTCAGATAACCTCTTTTTGTCTTGAAATTGAGTGAATGCATATTCTGTGTGGAGTGTAGATACCTAGTACAGTACTGCCTAGTCTGATCATGGGTGTTTTGTGGATATGCTATAATGATGTTTTGCTATGGCTAACTTGTGATTTTTGACGTATGTCGGGAGGGCGGTGGATTCGGATTTCCAAGATCCCCTGGGGCTCTGAGTGGGGTTAATGAGATAATATGGAAACTAGCCTTCGATAATAGGTAGTTATGGGAAGGGGGAGTGTGCTGTGGTGGTGTTTCTTGTGCGCGAGAGGGATTGACTCCCTAGTCTACTCGAGCAACGCACGAGCACTCGATGTGATAAAGTGCAGCAGGCGCACGCTTTGTGGTTGAGTTTGCACCGGTTGGTGTCCAAGCATATTACTATGTATTGTCAGTGAGGGCTGTACCGTTGCTGGACAATCAACACACAACAAAACTATATGTAGGCTTAAACTTTCGAGAACCTGGTGGCGCAACGGTATAAGAATAGGCCAGGGGCTCCGGGTTGTAAGGGAACCTCTAGGAAGAGAGCGAGAAAGAGAAGGAAGGGGAAAGGATCTGCTATGGGTTACGCCGGGATGCTCCCCTAGAGAGCGGGATGTCGATTTGAGTTTACTAGCAAGCTGCATCTTCTGATATGCCCCGTTTACTTCCGTTAAGGGGAGGGGGAAGAGAGAGAGAGGGGCGGGACCTGGGCCGGCGGCCGATGTAGTGATCTTCTGGCTCTGTAACAAGCATTGGACGAGTCACTTTTATGTCAGACCGGCCCGGGATTAAACTTCTAGTGCGTGCTAGCCCATCTGGAACAATGTGATGCTACCTGAGCAGGTGGGTTTGTATAGACGGTGGATTGGGGTTAGCCCTGAGGTTGGTTGCCTCCTTGGTGACATGAGAATCTAGTTAGTCGGACAGGGTCCAACCTCTGACACAATAAAGGTCGTTTGCTACAAAGGGGCTCTATGATCACTGCCTCTTCTAACTATCCATCGCATCGAGAACTCGACCTAGCCCATGGAACGGGGCGTGTGAGAACCGTCGGTAGGGAAGACGAAAACGGTGGAGATTGCTGCCTTCGAATCGCCTTCTCGCACATCATGCAAAGACCCTGGGGCCACTGACATCGACCACAAACCTGTCATCGGGCGTCACCAATGATTGGTAGGTCAAAGCAGCTGACTTCGTCGGATCGAACAATCTGGGAAAATGGGACTATGCAGGACGACGAAGTTTTTCTTTCGCTGACCTCTGACGGTAGTGCACGGGGTACGGCGGGACCACCCGTCCCACACCTGAATGGAGTCGTGATTTTCCGCAAGGGGGGCGTAAACCTCTTTAACCCAAGCCCAGTCAGAAGCGATCGAGGTCAACGGAACGTACAGCCGTCGGAGAGGTTGAGACAATTCCACAACCCAGGAAACCTCTGCCGAGGAGCAAGATCAATTGTACGGGGACTCGTTGGGCAAGTCTGAGCGATTGCGGGACGATCTATTGCCTGGACGAAATGACGATGCTCCAGGCTATATGACGCCTGGAATATGAACAGGGAGCGGACAGGGACAAGCTTGTTAACAAGCGACTGAGATCAAGTTGCACGAGGGGGGCAACCAACTGGATCGAATGGAGCGGCCAAGGAAGAGAGTTTCCAGTCAAGTGCTTGGCAATCGAGAAAGGAGGAAACTAGTTGCCATTTCGCGCGAATCCGTTGGGTCTTGGATAGTTGAACTCCTGGATGACTGACTGATTTCTCCAAGAATTCTCTTGGGGGCGCAGGTCTAGTTTTGACTAGCTTCGTTGTTATCAGAAGCACGGAGATTTCTGGCAGGACAGGCTTTGTCCAGTCGCCCGCAACCTCAATCTTCTGCCGCTGAACCCAAGGCACGAGTGGATCGGAGTGGAGATCTGGGAAAGACAGGAAAGCCAGTCGTTGCGGGCTATTGATTCTAGGTAGGTTTGCAAGACCTCCCCCAAAGTGTGGTAGCAGCGACTGGACCGTTCTCAGTGCGTGATTTTCGAGCAGGAGAACCTAAAAAGAGAGAAAAAAAGAAAGCTTTAGTCTTTTTTGGGGCCAGAGTTGCGTTCCGAAGAAAGGGTGACCATGTCCGATCATCAGGCATCCGATCCACCATTAGGGTTGATCTGCAGCCTCCTCCGTCTTGTCCAGCGTTGCGTCGGCGACTGTAGTCAGGGTAATTTAGTGTGCAGCTGGCAGATTTGCGTTGAATCGCTCTTCGCATTTGCTTCCCTAGAACAAAAAGAAGTAGTTCATACTAGGAATTAGGACACAAGAGAGGTAGAGGTACGTACTATCATTTACAAAGGATATGTTCGGTGGAAAGGAGAAGAAGGAGCCTGGAGGAGGATTACTACACCGGACCATGTCTCTGTCTCTAGATTGGAGGATCTGCGGATTGATTGGGGAGGAGAGGTGGGAGAAAGTGGGTATGGGTTCCATTGCTCCCAATCGCTCATCCAGATCTCTTGAGCACTTGAGCTACGTATTAAGTATGCTAAGTTGTTAATCAAGACAACACAAAGAAAAAAGAAACTCGAATAGACTAAAGGTAGCTAGAGGTACGGAGTAGAAAAAGACCAGAGTCTCAGACAGACAGACAGACATAAGCCAAGTCGGTAGTTGGTAGTTGGTCTCACCTGCATTTAATCAATTTCAATTGCATTATTATTTGCCCGACCAGAGTTCCATCTCTCTCTTTCATTCCCTTCAATTCCTTCCCCCCCCCTCACCCCTCTTTGAATTCCCCTCCCTCTGGCACTCTTAGTTCTCTCCCCACTCGGTCCCTCCCCGGCCTTTGACTTGATCTTTCGCCGCCTTTAGATTATTTGCCCCCCCGGACACTCGCTCACTCCAACTCCCTCAACCGACCCGATGGTTCGACTGGCTTCTTAATAATAATAGGATCCGATCTCGACCTTTCCCCCCCCCCCCCTTCCCAACGCTTGTCGATCATTCAATTTCTATTCCTATTCCTATTCTTAATTCCTATTATCCTTTCTTCATCACAACCAATCCCTCTCCACTTCGTTTCTGCTCAATCGATATTCGGACTTGCATCCTCTTGATCACTCCAGTACTCGCTCTTTTACTACCTACACCTTATCTGTTCCGCCCCTCTTCTCGATTTCCATCAACGACCGCTCCGATTCCGAAAACCCCGCCACCGAATGCTACACTGGTGAACGTCCCGCAGTCTGGCTTGGAATTTCGGTCGGACCTCTCCCCGTCCCTATCCCTGTCTCATGGATATCTTCCCCCCGCCATATTGTCGCCAGTTCAACTCGAGTTCATAGATATGGAGGTTCAGACTTTGGTGTGTGCCCCGGGGAAGCCTCCTCTCCCCGCACAGCCCCAGCTTCCCGCAGCCGCTGCTGTGCCTGAGAAACGAAAGCGGGTCCGGAGATGGCATCACCGGGGGTTCACCGGATGTTCAACCTGCCGTCGTCGCCATGTGCGCTGCGACGAAGCGTCGCCGTCGTGCAAGAATTGTACTCGGTTGGGTCTCGAGTGCGATGGGACACAGGGCCGCATGACTTTCAAGGTCTACGGGCCGCCGCCGGCTACTTCCGAATCTACAACTGCGCCCACGAAAAAACGAGACAAGAAGTCGACTTCCCCGACACCACAAGAGGTGAAGCAGGAGTCGAAAGAGAATGAGGAGCCTTTCGAGGCACTGGTGGTGTCTCCGACAACTGTTTCAGACTTCAAACCCATAAAATACCGTTTCCAGGAGCCGATCTCCCCAGCCGAGTTTATATCTTCGTCTCTCGACTGCGTTGAAGGCCGCTATTACACACACTTCGTCGATCAAGTCGCTACCTTGTTGCTTATTTACGACAATTCGATCAACATCAATCCCTATCGGCGGTTTTTCCCGGACCTCGCCCGGTCGTCACCGTCCATGGCTAGTGCCATGCAGGCTATGGGGGCACTGCATCTCGCCAATACTTCCAAAGGACAGCAACGAAACAAGCATTTTCAACAGGCCATGAGTAACTACGGTGAAGTTGTTAAGTCTTTCAGGACTCGATACACCGAGCCAGACCAGAGTGTCCGTCTCACCGACCTTGCCACTTGTCTATTGCTGTCTTTGTTCGAGGTAAGTTCATCGCAGGCCTGCGTCACTGTCTTTCGTGCTGACTGGTTAGATGATGGACTCTCAAAACCACAACTGGGCCATTCAT